TGTGCTGCAAACTGGGATTCCTTTGCAACGATGCCCAGTATAATGAGAAGACTTGTATTGCAGATATTATGCTCTTGCTCTGCACCAGTAACTGAAGAAGTAACTCTTAAACGACCTTCAAGAACTCTTTAAACTGCACACCATCATTATTTAATTACTTATAAATAAGCTTCGAGGAGTTGATATTTATTTATTTTTTATTTTATTTTATTTTTTAAGACTAACCGTGTAATTATTTCATAAAAGGCGTTTATTGTTAATAAACAATAATTTTTTATTATATAAAAAGTATTTTTTTTATAAATTTTACTAAAGTTGGCCAAGTTGATAAGCAGGTAAATATTTGCAATTTAATTTACAAAATAAATATACTTTTTCGAATATGTTATCTGTAAATGGTTTGTTTTTATGTCATTAATATTACAATTGACATTATAACTTTTTGCACTGAAAAAAAATTAACTTGATTCAAGAGAAAAATTCTTTAACCAAGAATATAATTTTGAAGAGTGTAATTGTCTTGAATCAAGTAAAATTTCCTTAAATCAAGAATATTAAGTTCTTCAAAATTATATACTTCATTCAAGAACTGAAGTTTTTTACTGTCTGGAGTAAATTTCAAATTTTATATTAAGTTTACGCTTAAATAGGTACATCTGCTTGATGTTATTTTAAATTTTTAAAATATTTTTTTTGTCAATTAGAACTTGCGGAAAAAAGAAGAAATAAGCAACAGGATGGTGTATAAACATATGAGCATTATATCAATGTGTTGTATATATAGGCTGATTGCATACGGTACAACACAATTTTAAAGTATATATGTCTCACGGTCGGTGAAGCGTTACATGCCGGTACTACGGTTGTTAGAAAACGAACGCGAAACGTCCACGTAGAAGAGTATATGTCCGATGATGATAGTATAATATATAGGATAGAGAATAGAAGAGGAAGCTCCCGCCTTTGGATGACCCAAATCTATACCGATACACGATGTTTCGTTTCCTCCTACATAACATCTTGCAGACTCCACCTGTAGTAACATTACGCTCAGTTTTATGCGTGTAGGAGAAACATCTCAAAAGATAACGCGAAAGTACTTTATTTCATAAGTTTACTACACCACTGGTACCATTATTATTATTATTATTATTATTATTATATACATGCATAGAAAATATATGATGTCGGTAGAATTGCATAACCCGTAAAATCTAGGGTAAATTGTAAGTATCTGATGTAATTATAATTTAACATTTTGGATGAACGTCAACGCAGGAACATAAAAATTTTAAAAAAATTATGATAATTGATATCCGTGTAAATTTTATTATGTAGCCTTTAGAACACCATAAAGGTGGTCGCGTTTATCTACGAGATGATGTCATGACAACTACTACTTTTCATATCGCTATATAATATGCCGTTAAATATTTTTGTAACTAACTATGGAATTTATTATTAATATTACATCAACGCAATGCGCTTTTAACTACAAGTACTTTTCTTTCTGCATAATAAATTATTCTTATGTCCTAGAGTTGAAGCTAAAATAAAAATAAGAAAACAAGAAAAAGGAGAAGAATTCTTAAGATGATTATAATAATAATAACAACTATTATTTTTATTATTATTGTAATGGTGATGTGATGATGAAGAAAAAGCAAAAGGATGATTTGTCAGAACAGGTAGAACTCATTGGGCCGACGCCCGTAAGTTTTTCTTGTGGAGAATAAAATCTAAATGCCAGAGTCCTTGATTATTCTTGAATACATTACTTAACGCACTGTTGTGTAGTACCTCATCATAATCACAGTGTGATATGTTTCAACATGTATTATTCATAAAGTCAACCTACTCATAAATATATACCAATATATATTTATGTACATATGAATATATATATATGTACTTATGTTGTATAGAAATGCAACAAATCTTTAATACACAATTTTGTTAAAACCCGTCAGGTCTACATCTGAGGGTGCACAAATAAGTACAATCAGCGTATCAACGAGTATATGTGTGTGTATCGAACTGATCTAACAACCGGAGACTAAGACAACGTCAAGTCGGTCAACAAGCTATGGAATTTGCCATTTTTACATCTAATGCACACTCGATTAAATTACACCGAGAATAAATTTATGTATATATGTATAAATACATATTAGCTGTACAATTACCATGAGGAATAACAACGTATGGAGAAGAAAAAAAGATTAAGTAATTTTCCGGATTATATCAATCGCTGAATATTGATGATCAGTCGAGTTAAATCACCGGAAAGCAATTGTAACCATATAATGCACACAATAATAATTTAAGAACTGACTGACTGTCTGAGTGAATGATTTAAATGATGTTTGATGTTGTAGAGAGCGAAAGGAAAATGAATTACTCGGATTTCCAGATTCGGTGGCATATTTATCGTGATACTTAAATTGGAATTGATGCTGTGTATCAAAGCAATGCTGGAAGACTAACTCCACTCGGCATCAGCAATCTAGTCAAGATTTTACCTTTTACAGCTATTGAAAACTCAATATAATAAGAGCTTACGAGATATGCGTGGGCACTTGCCGTAGTCGTAAAAGTTCCCGATGTAGTTAGGTATCTACGTCGTTTATTTTTTATAATTTATCAAATGAGTATTATCCTGAGAAATCTGTCTAAACTGTTGGCTGTATACTGTTTGTTCCCGAGGAACTTTTTGAAAAATGACAATTTTCCGTTATGGTAAAGTGTACATACACACTTTGCTAAGATAAGATTCATTAAAAGACGTGTTTTCTACATATCTATCTACTGTTGTAAGTAGCAGTATGTAATGCTTACAAGCAAGTACCTTAAAGTAACATCCGGCCAATCCAGTTTTACTTAACATCTTGATGTTCATGATTCTTGTGTCTCTGTACATGGTATGACCTCAATGACTTTGCTCTATCGCGTTAATTTTATTATTAGATATTACCGTTTATATTCATAATATACATCCCGTATCTTCACATATATATATATATATATATATATATATATTACAAACTCATCATTACTTTACATTATATTTGTTTTATTTCATCATTTTGAGTAATCGACCGCAACTAATATTTCTTATTAAAAAAAAAAAAAAATTAATAATCACAAATGACAGAGATGAATGATTAATGTATAAATGATTCATTTTGTCAATGCATATTTATCCACAATACAAATAAATAAAATAAATGATAGATTAAAAAAATATCAATTTAAATTTTTAATATAAAATTTAAATATTATCTTTTGATTAGCATTTTAAGTTGCAGTTCGTTTTAATGCACGTGTTTACGTCTCAGCGCTTATATTATATTATCTTATTCTTAGTCGCAAAGAGAAAAGTGATATACTATTAAACATTTTCCTCTAAACGACGACTCATAAAATAATAATTATGAAATACTATCTTTATTTCTACCGTCATCACCAGAAAGATATTATGAATAATGGTTAGTTGAGATCACCGACCGCATCATCCCTTGCATTACTGTCATCATCTTACAATTTATGGATTACCATACGGAAAATGAATAATCAGACAATTATTATTTTAAACCGTAACAATAATCATCATCAGTTAGATATTTTGCATACCCATTCCATTGAATTAAAAATTGCTGATTATTTTTCTTTCCACATTCCATGCGCAGCTAAATGCCAACGACAAACCTAGTCTCGGTATTCATACATTTATTTATAGTAATTCAAAACTTATATTATGTAAAAAAAAACATAAATATCCAATCAAGTATGACAATTAAATCGAAGGAGAGACTGTTATCCCCCATAAAGAGTCGATAGATTATCAAATCCTTTAGATACTGTCATAAAATAATCCAGAGATAACTTTCGCTAATTATTACCGGAAACAATTCAGTTATTTAATATATGATCGTTGTATATAAATAAATATGTAACGAAGCATTTAAAAGTAATAAATGTCAAGAATTGGCGCCAGATAAATATTATCAGTGCTGGTGATAATAAATAAAATCGGTAGCAAATTTCATTAGAATATTCTGACATGATTAGAATATCATGTACGCAATAAAACGTCGTAGTTGTTGTGGTTCAGGCTTCTGGCTTTACCTTGGGTGTCTTCGATGATCATAACATTATATTATAAGAATAAAAAGAGTATGGTAGATGTATATATGTAAGTAAGTACATGTAATGTAATATAGCTTCGCTCTAAATCGCACGTATAATATGCGTGTGTATATTACTTATATGATATATAATTCGCATTGATGTAGAGAATATAGTTTAGTTTAGTTCAGTAGATGCATGTGGGCATCGATTGAGCCTGGTTGATCCTTGAGAACCGCCTCGGTAATATCCCACGGGCGTTACCTTCTATGCCCCGTCCGGCGCCTACACACATATTGGTTAATGTGAAGTTACGTTGACGTCACATTCTATGACCGTAGATGGCTGGCAGTAAAACCACGTGGGCGCGACTACACCAGGCATAAGTTATAAATTATATGCCTATTTTCCTAAACGACACTCTCTTTTACTTTCACAGTACTTGTTATCGTACACATACATATACAATATAAATAATAATAACAATAATACATATATACATATATATATATATATATATATATATTCTCGAAACGAAGTAAAGACATTTCCTTAGAACTCTGATCGTATCTGATTAAGCCGCGTGGGTGCTTGACAGTCACTTTAGCTACAGATTCTTCACTTACAACTTTCAATTTCCGTACTGTACTTTAAGATAAGATATTATACGTGTAATTAATATTTAAATTTCTATAATTGTATGGTGGAAAATGTTTAAAAAATCAACACTTACACAGTAATTATAATTTTATAAGTAATGAAAAATATTATTTCATTTGATTTTAAAATAAACTATTTATAAAAATTTTTTTATTGAATTTTTTTATTTTATTTTATTATTTTAATAAAACTTATTATTATTATTATTATTATTATTTTGAGAATTTTTGTGAATTCTTATTTTTATTTCCTACTTGACGGTATATTTTAGTCTTTTGGACTTCTCGTCCGCCTTTAGAATTGTTCGTATTATTCAGATATCCATATCCACCGCCACCCATTCGTTTCCGTGGTCTTGATGCTTTACTGACTGCCACTTCTAAAGTGAAACGGTTAAGGAAAAATAATGAAAGTATAATGAAAGTAAGATAAAATTTTTTTAAGGTAATTTGCACAGGTTCATGATGAGAATTGCCAAATTTATAAATGCCCACCTAAAAAAATTGCTAATAAATCTGTTAAACACAAATGGGACAATGTTATCGCGATGAAATTATGCAAACAATAAATAAAAATCTTTAGATTACTGTGTTAATGGGCGTCTAGATAGTTGTTTAAATTATAATAATAAATGAAATGAATAAATAAATAATAATGTGGATAATTGTAAGATTATTTCATGGTTTGTGACAAATTTTTTGGCACTGCTATCAATTGCTATTTGTTAAAATGAACAGTGCACAGCGACTTTGTCATTATGCTTAAGCATTATTTAAAAAGGATACTTAAATCAACTTTAGGCGGCGTGGTAAATCCAAATGATTTGGCAACTTGGCCGACATCCAGTGTTTCTACGTCGAATATCTGTTTAAGATGATGTGAATCGTAAGCTCTAAGATACGATTTAAATGCTTCTTTCGCCGAAGAATTCAGATGATAATTTTTTGCTATTATTTGTTCCAACTGAAATAGAAATAAAATTATTATTATTATTATTATTATTATAAATTTTTTATTTTTAAAAAAATTTATAAAAAAAAATTTCAAGTTTTGAAGAAGGTAAATTAAATAAAATATCAATGTACACAAATTGATGTAAAAATATTGTAAAAAGATTTTTAAAGTAGCTGTTGCTAAACAATAAATTATTATTATTATTATTATTATTATTATTAAAAATCTGATACACACAACAGAGCAATTGGATATTAAGAGACCAAATTAAAAATTTTTTTTTCTCTTATTGCCTTTACTATTATTAATAGTACGTCTAAATGCATTCTGTACAAATTTAATATAAACGTTATAGTTGTTAGGCGACATAATCCTACAACCAAAAATAAAAGCATAACATTACATTATTTAAAAGAATTGTTGGTATTCTTGTAAATGAATTCAGTAGATGATGAATCTCAACACGGAAGTAATTCGAAATCCAAATGCGTACACACTATGCGGTTGCTCTTTTACAGCTATCAAGTCGTTAAGTTACACGGTTGAAATATAAATCAGACAAAACTGTTATCACTATATAATAATTCTTCTCATAAGTAGGTAAAAAGATAATGATACTGTAATATTTACATTAATAAATTTTCCACGATATAACACTCGATTCAATAACACTTAATGATTATAAAAAAAAACTAATGAATAGTTATTGAGACTAAACTACATTTATCAAGTGTTTTAATCGGTTACAATGTTACTAATTTATTCACGAATTACAATTCATACATTCTCACGTAGGCTGTTACATCCTTGAGATAATCTCGATAATAATAGCAGAAATAATTTGGTTTTTTTTTTTTTTTTTCTCATCTACATAAACAAAAATAAATAAATTTATTATGCTAAAAATATTCAGCAGTTTAAATTTTAAAGTAATGTGTATCCTACTCTCTTAAACTATTAAATAGAAAACTTTCACGCAAGAAAATCGCAAAACTTTCTAAATCATATTATCAATATAAATATTAACCATTAACCGCGTCATTAAAATTTATATGTTTATCATTAAAGTTAAATAAAAGCTTTGTACAAAGTAATAGTTTCATTTAAACAAATTATTGTAATTGCTTTACTGATGGATAATAACTATTACAATTACTATGATAATTATTGCAATTATTTATGTCACTAGTGGTCATTTAAAACCTGTCAAAAACAATTATTTAAAATAACCCGAATTCTGAATTAATATACTTAATATATTTAAACATTGAATAATTATATAGATAGTTGTAGTTTTAATTTAAGAATTTTTAGACAGCAGACATTAATTTGACTACAAATTGATTACTTAAAACCTTAAAATATATTTATAATATTGACTGAAGCTATTAGATGCTAAAATTCCATGCAAAAATAAATAAATATGACAAGCAAGACGGATAAGAATAAAAATAAGAACAAGAAAGAGGCGACAGAAGAAATGGGATTAACAGTTAGGCAAGTACCCTGACAAAGTTGACCGGGATATTTGTGAGATATATGTCGTGAAAACGCATAAATATTCTTAGCTATCTCGGCTTAGATTAGCATCAGTTGTGCAGCATATCGCGCAATTCATAAATTGGCCTTTCGCCGAGAGCGACTAAATAAAAAAAAAACAAAAAATAAAATAAAGGGAGGTAGATCCAGTGGAACCGGTAGCTTGCGGGTACCAATTTCATTGTATTGGTACATGTACATTCTCACACATACATAATCAACAAACTAAGAAATATACATAGCGTAGTAGTATGTGTTGGTTAAAAAAGAAGAAATCGAAGGAACGAGAAGTGGATCATGAACGGATCTTCATGTGCGATCACCGAGGCAATATAATCCGATCCTCCGGCTCAGGCTCAGATCAGACTTAAAACTCGACTTTACTTCATTCGTATCGTCTTCATACGTCGGACGCATATCATGCGTGTTGATTCTAGAGTGAATCTGGTGCATTAAGTCCAATAGTGGGAGTTCTGCTCTTTCTTTCTTTATTTCTTCTTTCCATACTCTGATAGTTATATTATCCAGTGCATAGAGACTCTCCAGTGAATCATTTGGCATACCGTGTGGGCGCCATACTCTCGTCGAATCTTCTAAAATTCTCATTCTTCATCTCTTATCTTCTCACTTATTTAACCCATCATCTCATTTACTAGAACGCAGGTTAAAATGCAATACTCCAATCTTAAATGATCCACTACAACAAAACATAACATAAGATTTACTTGTTCTCATTTTATCTAAATCGATAGCACATAAAAAATAATAGAGTTGACTGCTATTGCATGTGTATAAATTTCAGCACTTGATCGTTGAATCATTACTACATCAGTAGTGAGATCTATCTGTCCGTCGTGATTGCTTTTGGCATTATATACTGAGTTTAAATATATGATGGTATGTTTTGATTGCATTAAAGATTATTCACTCTGGTATAATGATCTTCATAATGATATGCAGCAACATGGATAGTTTTTATCTCTCTAGTAATCGATACTGTTCTCATTAGTAATGGACTACTGTATAAAGTACTACTGCTACTTATCAACATTGTTTTATTGTTTATCTTTTTCTTATTTTTTAACTTTATTTCATTTAAAGATTTACGATTACATTATATTTATACTAATTTAAACATACTGTACAAATAAATCTTTTATCAACATGTGGATTAAATTTCACCGCAATGTTTGACTTGATTTTTTGGCCCCACATGTTCCCAATTCTATTCAATGCAAGGCGAGTATATGAGAAAAAATATAAAAATAGTTTTAATTGATTACTGTAACAACACGTGCCTTTTAAGACTCCTTTTAATTCACTAGTATTTATTTAAGTTAACTTAACGTATTATACAATCCACGTGCCACCAGAAACTCCAGCTATAAGTGCATATTTATCCAATGAAAGAATCGATTCACTCATTACTTAGTTACTCTCCCTTTAAACCGTAATTAACGCATCCTCATGGCTGCTGCTATCAATTAGACACCACTGGCTAATAAGGTCAACTAACTCTTCGTTGGCAATGAATTTACTTGTTCATTTGTATATATACTTCATGTATCAAATAATCTCACTCATTCAACAGCCTCAAACTTTTTACATTTACTATTTCTGCATTTTAAATAATGTATATTATTAAGAGAAAAAGCAAAATTTTGTGGCTAGTGTATTTATTTGATAAAATGGGTTTTTATGGTTAAATATGGTATCGTTGGAAAAGTCTTGACCTGGAGTTGTGCTTTTTTATGGTTTCATATCATTATCACCAACAGTCAATTTATGATAAGTACTTAGGCTGCATTCGCCAATGCTCTATCTCTAGATACATAATTAAGAAATGACCTTGTATCTCGCAAACTATTGACATTTTTAAAGATATAAGCTCATCCCGATGTTACACTCATCGAGACCTTTCATTTGAGTACCCACATGCATTTTTGATATATTCTTCATATATACATATATATGATATATATATATAAAATATAAAAATATATGAAAAATTGATGTGGGTACTCAAATGAAAGGTCTTGATGAGTGTAACATCGGGATGAGCTTATATCTTAAAAAATGTCAATAATCAAGAACTGACTTTACTATCTTGTCAACTAATGATATTTTTGAAGATATAAGATCATCTCGATATTAGACTCATCAAGACCTTTCCTTTGAGTACTCACATCAATTTTTCATATATTTCATATATTTATATATCTCAAATGAAAGGTCTTGATGAGTGTAACATCGGGATGAGCTTATATCTTAAAAAATGTCAATAATCAAGAACTGACTTTACTATCTTGTCAACTAATGATATTTTTGAAGATATAAGATCATCTCGATATTAGACTCATCAAGACCTTTCCTTTGAGTACTCACATCAATTTTTCATATATTTCATATATTTATATATATTATATATATGTATATATGAAAAATATATATCAAAAATGCATGTGGGTACTCAAATGAAAGCTCTTGATGACTGTAACATCGGGATGAGCTTATAACTTTGAAAACGTCAATAGTTAAGAAAATACAGTGCAATTTAACAAGTCATTATTTAATAATGCAAAATTTCATTTATTTATAGTTCACAAGCCACGGCAGTCACATAGTGACTGCAAGATTGCTTGTTCTTTAATTATCCAACTTTCTTAAATATTTTTTAGTAAATATTTAATTAAATTACCTTTAAAAGTTGACAATTAAAGATTGTAAAATGAAAACAGAATTTTTACTGGCTTTACGGTAAATTATACACATTTCCATTAGTGTAAAATTTTTACAGCATTGTTAACTTGCAAAAATCAAGTCATTACGTCTCTCGTTCACCACTATGGATTTTATTACTTCATCAAACCATATACGCCGTACAAAAATACAATTGCATCATTAAGATAAAGTATTATCAGAAACTGTTCATCTTAAAACATTTCCGTAGAATGGAAATAAACACGTAGTTATTACTATTCATGAAGAAAACAAGTATGCGGTATATATATGTATACCATCAATCCATTACATGTGAATATATATAATTACAATAACAATTTATGTGATATCGAAACTGGAAATAGACAATCTGTTTGTTCTCCTTTATCTTAACTGGTAGTAGAAATTCAAGAAAGTACCGGAGTAATAGCGGAAACAAGTATATAATAACCAAATTGAAGACACAGTTAAAAGTAATAAGTATATGTTATCTGTAATTTTTTAGTATTTTTCAACGGACTACTTATCTAATAGATTTATCTATATTTGAATTCTAAATGTCTTTGAGTTTATATATTTACTGAAACTGAATTCAAGGATTGTGACAAACTGTCACATTAGATTAGACATTATTAAAGTTTATGTTTATTATCCAGCTGCTGCTGTTGCATTAACGAGCTTCCTGAGTAATGCGAAGAATTTAGATATATAAAGTAAGACACATGTGAATATATAAGTACACTCTATTCGCGTTGATTTCAAGGATAAATACTTAGCTCGACGCAGTTTCTTAACATTTTTTATTTTATTTGTTTAAGTGTGTGTTATGAATTAGTGATCAAGGGAATGCGTAGTATTGAGCTATTGTCTTGTCCATTTAGTATTGCCTGACAATGACGAATGCCTAATTGAATATATTGATTACTCAATTAAGTAGGTATATGAAGAAATTTTTAATGCCAATTAATTTATCTCATATTGTTAGTACTTAAAAAGTAAGTTATTGTTGTGTGCTAATAACTATAACTTTACTTGGAGTATAATAAATAAAATGAAAAGATCCATTATTTTAAAAATATATGGGCTAAAATAATTATTATATTGCAACAAGAATCGTTATACTTGTGACTCAAGTAATAACGCGTTGGCGGGCGCTGGTATGATTTACTGCGCTTGTTAATAAATTATCTGTGCACTTAGTATTCATAGACACGCATTTGTGTTTTGAATATAAAGTAAGTAATAATTTAATTATTTAAATGATAATAATAATAACAATAATAAAATTATAATTATCACTTACTTGGAGCTGAATATTTGCGATTTTATTCCACGAGAAATCAAATTCGTTTACGGTGACACGGGCCTTTTTGAGGTAACGAAGAAAGCCGAGTTCTTCGGGACGAAGAATTAAGAGAGCACGACCACTGCTGCCTTCACCACGCGCTGTACGACCAACTCGATGGATATATTCCTAGAATTATTTATAATTTATTAATATTAAAATTTTTTTTTACTGTCAGTTAAATTTTATTGTTGAATAAATTACCTTGGGATCATCTGGAGGATCGTACTGAACGATCCAATCAACTGAAGGAATATCAAGACCTCTTGCAGCAACGTCAGTACATAAAAGGATTCCTTCCGATGCATTGCTAAACTGATAAAACGTAGCCGTACGTTTCGTTTGCTTTTGTTTTCCGTGAATACACATTACGGGTAAATCAATATAGTTTAATAATTCACTGTAATATTTAACCGACATACAAGAGCTAAAAAAGACCATTATTTTCTTCGTGCGATTTTTTTTCAGGAATGTAAATAGCAAAAGAAATCTTCTTTCGCTGGGACATAAAACGTAACCTTGCTCTAAACCATCAACAGTCGCTTGGTCTTTGTCATCATCCACACCAATGTATATCGGTTCTTTTTTTAATGCCAAGGCTGTTAGTGCCTCTGTTTTTTTTGTTTGAGTTGCGCTGAATAACATTGTTTGTCTTCTTTCTGTAACGATTAATTTAAATTTAAATATTTTATAAATAAAAAACATACGCTTAATAAATTTATTTATGATAAATAAACTTGCGATTTCTTTGGCAAAAATCAAAACTTACTTGGCAATAAATTGATAATTTGTCTGAGATCTTCCTCAAAACCAATATCAAGAATACGATCAGCTTCATCAATAACAAGACACTGCAAGTTTTTATAAAGAAAATCAGGAGTGTTTTGGAGATGATCTATCAATCTACCGGGCGTGACTACCAAGATATTTATTCCTTTAGAAAGTTTTTGCGCTTCGGCTTGCCTACTAGTACCACCCATCAGTAAACCATAAGTATGGTGATGATACTTCATCAACTCTTTCAGAACTTCAAATGTTTGCATTGCCAGCTCACGTGTCGGCGAAATAATAATGCATCCAGTGCCTAAATTAATAAAAATAATTAATACAAATGACTCCTGATTATCATAATAATTTAAAAGCTATACAAACCTCTTCGTGGCATGAATTGTAATTTATATATAAGCTCAACAGCGGGAACAAGAAATGCCAAAGTTTTTCCAGAGCCAGTTTTAGCAGCCCCGACAAGATCGCGGCCTTCAAGCAATGGAGGGATTGCTTTCGCTTGAATTTCGGTCATATTTTCAAAGCCCATATCTTTTATAGCTCTCAGAGTATTTTCACAAACTTTGTCTTTTAGGGAATCAAACGATCTGTCCATTGATACTTCGAAACCAACTGAAGAACCAGGTACTGTAATTTGAGAAATAAGTAAATAAATTAATTTCTTTATTATGATTATTAATTTAGTAGATATTTGATATTTTTAAGAATTTTTTTGACAAATAAATTATGGCAAAAAAAATTATAAAAAAAAATTGACATGTAGAAATTTAAAAAACTTAAAAATGTAATTTTTTGAAAATAATTTTTCGAAACAAATTTATTTGTCAAAAAAAAAATAACAAATAATCAAGTGACTGCTAACTTTAATGTCATTTCTTTATTACTAATTAAAAAAAAATTTTAATAACTTACAGTTCGTTGTTGCCTCATCATCATCATCACCTTCTTCATTACTTTCATCTCCTTCATCATTATTATGATTTTTCAAATTCGAATCATCATCATTTGACTGATTGTCTTCATTGTCACTACTATTTTTATTGTCATTGCTACTTTCATCATGAATATCATCATCGTGATCTTTTGAATCAGAATTGTTACCATTTGTAACTTTAATTAGTTTTTTCTGTTTACTTGAAACTTCAACTGGGGCATCATCGTTTGTTTCATCATTATTTTTCATCTTCTTTTTTTCTGCAAAGAATGTAAATTATTAAAAAATGTCAATATATGTCACAAAAAATATAAAGTTAAGATTAAGAAGTTAAATAAAAATCTAATAGAGTACAAATTGACATTTGATTAACGTAAAAACCGCTTACGTCGTCTTGAACATTTTTTTATAACCTACAATGAAAGCCATGTGGTAATGATAAGTAAATGAAAAATCCTTACTTTTAACAGAAATTTCTTCCGACATTGGCCTTTTTTCAGCACCACTGACTGGTAGATTAACTTTTTCTTTCTTTTCATCATTCCTTTCTGCAAAATAATAAATAATATTAATAAAATAACTAATAATTGAAGTCAAGTAATCAACAATTATATATCTCACCTTTAAGCCTCAGTTTATTTTTTTCCACTGCTTCTTTTCTACATTTAATTTTTTTGTTCATTTTACGTTTCAAAATCTTTTCTGGAGTAGACATTGCAATTTTTTAAAACTCCAATTACTTTAACAATTAAAAGGAAAAATACAAGACAATGAGTAATACACAAAATTCATACACATAACCACCAAGACACCCACGTGTTAAATATGAATAGAAAATTATTTGTACTATGGTGTTAATACAGGGGATTTCTATGACAGAAGTTGTTGAGTACTCACTCTAAGGGCGCAATTTCGTGCGACCTCTAACGCTTGTTTTTAGCGTCAAATGGTGGTCACGTGGTGATACATTCGACCAATCACGTTACGAATATATTTCATCTCAATTAAATATTACACGAACGGATTTCAAAAATTAAAAAAATAAACAATTTTCAATACAAAATAAGTAACTTAAAATTTTTTATTGATTAAAAATTAGCAATTTATTTTTAATTTGACATAATTTTATTTTGTCACTAAAAAATATAATTTTAGATATTTATTATTTTTTTACAAAAATAATTACTAGCAAGAATTATTATACTGTAAGTTTATTTACAGCATAAAAAAATAGAAAGTTGAAAAAAAAAACAAGTAAAATAACTTATTGAATAAAAAATAAAATAAAACATGTAATTGTTTATATTTTTTAATGATATTATCTATTATTGAAGAAAAAGAGGCGTGATTGTAGATAAAAGTTATCGAATCACGTCGGAAGTGTATAACTGTATGTGTAAATATATAAATATATACACAAACCTAAACAACGAAGAAGTTTATGAGTTGTCAAATACCGTACTCGTGTCATACTCATCATTTTCAGCTCATTCTATTATCTAAGACATAATTAAAAAATTTGTTAAAACATTATGGAATCTTACGAGAGTGTACTTTTAGTTAAATCTGAAGTCTCTGTGTATAAAATTCCTCCAAGGGCATCCAATCGAGGTCACAGGTAAGAATATTATCCTAATAATTTATTTAAGTAGTGATTTAATACTTGTGTAATTTAAAATCTATAATTTTGATGACACATCAATAATTAGTTGACAGTTAGTTGATGACAGTCGTATAAAAGTGTAAACTAACTGCGGATAATTTTATAAATTGTAGAGCTGCAGATTGGAATCTTCAAGAACCGTCATGGACAGGGAGAATGCGTTTAGTATCTCAAGGTGACTCGATAACGATAAAACTAGAGGATAAAATGACTGGAGAGTTGTTTGCTAAGTGTCCTATTGATACGTATCCTGGCGCAGCTGTTGAGCCGGTGACTGATTCATCACGGTACTTTGTGCTGAAAATTCAAGACGACAATGGACGAGCAGCTTTCATTGGTGCGGGATTTTTAGATAGATCTGACAGCTTTGATCTAAACGTAGCCCTACAAGATCATTTCAAGTGGTTGAAAAATCGCGAACAAATTGAGAAAGAAAAAGATCAGCCTAAGCCTGAGCTGGATCTCAGGTTTAAGGAAGGAGAAACGATTAAAATAAATATGAAAATCACTGTAAGCTTTCTCTTTTATTATTTCTATTGATAATTTATTATTTTCTCAGTAAAAATAAAAATGAAAATAAAGTTAGCCGACATCTAAAATTTTTTATTATTTTTTTTATTAAAGAATTATTACAAAAAAATAAAAAAAAAATTTTTTTCATTTGTTAAAAACTTCAAAAACTATAAGTGCAATTTTTTAAAAAGATTTTTTAGTTATAATTTATAATTCAATAAATTAATCAAAATAAAAAAATAAAAAATGTCGGCTAACTTTATTATTATTAAATAAAATCATGTTACAAACTAACTTATATTAATTTAACAACAGAAAAAAGATGGCAGTGAAGCTTCATCAAAGTCAAAACGTCCTCAAGTAGGACTAGGTCTTCCACCACCCCCAGGAGGTGTCAAAATAGCACCACCTCCTCCAAAAACTCCGACTTCCTCGCCAGCTCACAAACCAGCTGGTAATCCGCAACAAGGTTCTGAATGGGGTGAGTTCGCTAGTGCTTCACAGCAACAACAACAACAACAACAGCAACAGCCTCCAGCTGCATCTCCAGGTTCCGTTTCCAATGCTAGTTGGGTACAATTTTAATAATCTGGTTGTACACTAACCTAACAAATAAAACATCGTAACTAATGACTAAACGAAAATATAAAAACATTGCAAATATTATCTAACGCTTACAAATACACTTGTGTTTGTATATAAGTAGAATTATCCAATACATTAGCAGGGGAATTACAATTTTCGATTTATAATTTTTCTTTCTGGATTGGGTACAGCTTGACGACAAACTTGCATAGTTTTAATTTAATTATTCATTAATTTTACCACTTAGGTAGTTAACTAATTAATTATTCCTATGATTTTTTTTTATTATTATTGTTGGTATAACAATAATTATTTACGTCCGTGTTATGCATTTTTGTTAAAAGTTATCAGTATTAGTTTTAATGAATGTTTAGCGTGACGGTAAAATATTGATTGCATTAGTTTTAATTATTTTACGTTCGAATTTTTAATAGTTACTTTATTAAGTAATGAGACATACACGCATGTAAGTCTATATTATTTTACCGGTGAAAATTTAAGAATTATTATTATTAATTTAAATTTATGTACCCAGTCTGATTGCTGTGAAATAATTTATGTGTAATAACGATAAATTTTTTCTCATTGCACAAATTTACAATTCAAGTTAGTTTATAAGAAATTGTTCTTTATTTTATTTCTATTAATTGCGAGAATTTTTTAATGGAAAATTCAAACGGTTATGGCTAATGAACAAAAAATATAATTGTCAAGTTTTTAATTTACTTTTGACTGAGGAAAAAATAAAGATCACGGCGTTGATGCTAAAATTGATACACAGTTTAGGGCCTCTGTTGCCACTGGCATTTGTACATAAATAAAAAATTAGAAGCAGGATTTAGCTTCTAGAGAATAGCCTAATAGAAGAAAAAAAATACAAAGAACAGTTTAAATGAAAAAAAAAAAGTGTGAGCAATGTTAAACTTAAAGTCTTATTAGTTATTATAATTGTTGTTGAACTTATTTTCAATATACAACGTAAAAAAGGTTTAAAAAAAAAAAATAAACTATTAGATACCTATTTTAAAAGCGGATGCTTATGATTTGCATATAATGCAAAATATACTTGGATTTCTTTGTAAATATATGATGTAATATTTTATTGCACTTCAATTTATTTTATTATTATTTTTATTTTTAATATTATTATTGAAAAGTATATTGTTGATTATGAATAAAAAAATTCATGTTGTCAACCAGAAGGTGCGTAGAAAAATCATGAATCATAATAATTTAATTTTTTAACTTTAATTACTGACCTTGAACAGCTAAAAAAAATATTTTCAATAAATTTAGAGACAATAAATTTATTTTAAAATATGCCAAGCATGAAATTAAAAATATAATTATTTTTAATTATAAAAAAAAAAAAACGATTATTTTTAAAATTTATTTTTACTGTTTAAGGACTCTTCAAAATAAAGTTATCGTGCAATTTATTAAAAAGAAAAAGAAAAAAACTTCCACTATCATTAATAAATATGTCTATCAGTTGACAAAACGTTAAATCATTCCCATGGATATTATTTTTAAATAATAAAAAAAAAAGATATTTAGTTAAAATCATTCTATCATTTGTTATCATTATTATTTTTATCTTTTAATTATCATTACCTTGCTCTATTTTAAATTATCAACGCCACAAAAATATCTATTTATTAAAAAAGTAGGTGAAATAGCTTGGAAAAAAAAAAGTTGTAAAATTAAATAGAAATATTTTTGTTAATTAAAATAAAAAAAAAAATATCCCCATATCGTAACACTATTTTTGAATCAATAAATTATTAGATCGTCACTAATGTTGACTTGTAGTTTAACAAACCGGGATAGCCAGTATTTTATGTATGTAAATAGATTAATCGATCTCGTTCGAAACCCTAATGATAACAATGAAAACACATATTTAATTACTAAAAAATGTTATCAGTAAAACAACGTGAATTAATAAATGTACATGACAAGTTGTACAAACAAAATATCTATATATATATTGCGTAATAATAGATTATATATTCAGAAATGTATAAATAAATAATCAACTAAATACAAAATGTAAACTTATTGAAGTTTAAATAAATGGTGGTTTAGTCAGTGGATTAAAAAAATAATAAAGTGTTGATCAATTGCTATCACATTCTATTGTACTGTATTTTTGGTATTCCTTTTTTTCCATAGCATTGTTAGCATACTCAAATACATTAGTCCTTAGTTATTATATAAATAATACTTAATTAACGAGTCATGGCTCCTCAAAAAACATTTTTAATTTCTATCACAATCATTATTGGGTAAATTCCCAAACGTAATATCATTAGCTGATTGATTAATAATTTATTACTAAAGAGACAAAAAAAAAAAAAATAGTATTTATATAGTTATAACAACAAAATTAACAACGTTTATTTCGCGGTACGTTCAGACGTAGACTACGCATTGATAATGTTCGATTAAAATTACGCTGCATAGGTCGTTGGAGTTGATCACTATTCAGAGTTATGTTATCATCGCACTCTATAGTACTTAGTACTACGAGGAGAACGCACAAGACCTGCAAAAATAATTTACACGGTTAAAATAAAAATGCTTATATAATTATTAAGAAACAGTTTGACTAAAATAATTTTTACCAAGCAAACAATTATAAGTAAAGTATACACATGTATACTAGCAGTTGGTAGCGATTCAACTTCTTTTAGTGCTTCAGCAGCCTCCATGAGGTCGGGTTTTAATTCTAAAGCATGTCTTAAATGTACAGCTGCTTCTTGAAAATGTCCATATGCCTAAAAATAATAATAAAAAAAAAAAAAAAAAAAATTATTGCAAAGTTTGAATTTATTAAACTAGTTAGTAAGACAATTTCATTAAATAATACTTTAAATATTTGCCCAAGTGTAAGATACTGTTCCCATGCATTACGATCCGGTGGCTGTAATTCCAATGATCGTCGTGCTAAGTACGTAGCGTCGTCTAAGTACTGTAAAACCATCAGTACCCTTGCCAAATTCAATAAAACTTCAGCATTATGCGGTGAAACAGCAAGAGCTCGTCTGAAACACTCAATTGATCGCTCAGCGTTCCCTTTTATACGCCAGAAATTACCGATTTGGTTGTACAATTGAACTGACTTTGGTTTCTAAAATCAATACAAAATAATTAATTCATCTAAGTACGAATTGGTTGGCTAATTAATTAATTAATTAATTGACAAAAAAAAATTACCTCTCGTTTAGCTTTTTTTAGCCGTCTCTCAAGCAAATCAATATCAACATCCTCAACTTTGGTGCTGCCCTTTTTAAACATAAGAGCTACATGTGGTTCTGGCACTAGCGGGTGCTTGTTACGATTAGCAATGCCAACAAGATTATCGTAGTACGTGTAATTGACTGGTTTTCCGCAATCCAGTACTATGTCTTCGCACTGATGACCAGCTGTACATACGATCTGTTGCTCCTGGGATGATGTTGATCCAGTAGAAGACGCCAGGGTGTTCGTTGAGTTTGGTGGATCCGTCATCGTATAGGAAACGAATCGTCTGTACCAAATTTAAGGCTTTCATAATTGCTGTAATGACAACAGCAAGCCACACACAAACACTAACTACGGGCAAAAACAAATATACTACTATTAGAAATAAAATAACACAAATTACCATACATCATTCGCAAACAGTATTGTTATCCACTGAAATAATTTTTTTTTTTTTTTTAAATAAAAAATATTAAGCCAATACAAGTCAATGTGAACATATAATAGATAATAAAAATAAAACTCTGCTCAGCTAAAAAAAGCTCAAATATTTACTTGTAAAAGTATTTTTAAACAAGCATGCTATTTTATGATGTCATGTCATAACAGTGCGTGTGAATGAAATAATAACTAATTAACACATACTTGACAGATTAAAAATAAAAAAATTGACTGTCATGCAATAATAAATAACAATAACAACAATAATGAAAAAATAATATACCTGTCATTATTGCTCGCTATAAAAGTACTGTATTCATTGCAATAAACTTGTAATTTTTCTTGATTGTCTGTTGAGGCACTTTTGCTCCAACCTTGTCCATTAGACGAACTTACGGTCGAAGTAAGTATTTCAAAAATCGGATCATCCTCAGCGGGTGTTGCAAATTGAGTTGCCTTCACAACTCCATCAGTGTTGAGTCTCCAAGAAGTTCGTGAATTAGACAACCGTACTTGGAATACCAGCAAGCAAATAGCGTAGCTGGCAATACGCCTGTCAGTCCACATCACACCTATATTATAATTCCAATTACTGTTTTTAACACTTATCAAGATAATTGATGTTTAATGTGTTATTGTTTTTATTTTTATTTTTGAATTTTAATTCAATTTTTAGCCTTTTTTTGACGTAACCTTACCACCGACCTCAACACTAAATACTAATGGAGCCATTGAATGAAAACAACAAAGATGGAGTTCTCTTGCGATATTTCACCTGAAGACGGCTCTGCTGTTGTATTTTTAATTTTTCGCGCTCTTGATTATCCATTTGTGGTAAAGATGGTTGACGTATTAACTAAAGACATGTCACTTCCGTCTATAGAAAATTTTTATACAAGCATATATATATTTGATACATCATACACCTACTAAATATCTACAATCAAAAATCGCTCTCGTGGCACCTATCGTATCCATTGAATTACATCGTCCACGATGATGTATCTTGGCCAAAGTTTATTGTGTTTTCTCTGCATTTTCACAATTGCAAACGCCGGTGGACGTACACTCGTTCTTCTAGACAATCTTGGAATCAAAGAAACACATTCAATATTTTTCAAATGGCTCCAAGGTACTTTTATTTGTCAATATTTATCACTATCATACTTTACTTCACTTAATTTAAAATTCTGTCTCCTATTTTTATAAAATCAATTTTATAATCAATTAATTAATCTTCAAAACACCTGCAATTAATTTAAATCCCTTTTTATAGATAGTTACATCTAAAAATGATAAAAAATAAAAAATTTACACCAACGTAACCTTTAATTGTCATAATCAAAAACAATATTTTTCAGATCGTGATTACACACTGACATACAAGCTGGCAGATGATCCCAATCTACTTCTCTCAAAGTATGGAAATTACTCATACGAGCATCTGATTATTTTTTCACCGTCAGTCGAAGAATTTGGTGGAGCATTAACTGTTGAAACAATAACTGAATTTATTGACAACGGCGGTAATGTTTTGGTGACTGGTTCGTCTCATTCCGGTGAAGCTCTGAGAGAATTAGCGAGCGAGTGTGGCTTTGAATTGGACCAAGAAAGTGCTAGTGTTATTGACCATCTAAACTACGACGTAACTGATGATGGATATCACACTAAAATCGTCGCTGATCCAGAGAACCTTATCAATGCACCGGTCATCGTTGGAAACAGACAAGTTGCTCCGTTACTTTATGAAGGAACTGGGTTGATTGCTGATAGGGAGAATCCTCTGGTTCTTCGATTACTTACAGCGTCCAGCTTGGCGTACTCATACAATCCTAAACAACCGATCAAAGATTATCCTCATGCTGTTGGGAAAAATACTCTGCTGATTGCTGCTCTTCAGGCAAGAAATAACGCTCGTGTTGTATTTACTGGGTCTCTTTATTTCTTCAGTGACGAAGCTTTTACCAGCGCTGTTGAAAAAGCTCAAGGTACAATTAATATCTACTTAATATAATTGTTATATTTCAGATCGAATTTATTAAATAATGAAGTAAACTCAGGTTCTATAGATCATCTAATTTTTATGTTGATTTATTATTCATTTAATTCAGGCATCTACTTAATTAAAAGAATTTATTTCATACGTGTTCAAAATTATGACATAAAATTTAGCAGTCATTTGACCATTTTTTAATTTTTTTTAACAAACAAATTTCTTCCAAAAAATTATTTTCAAAAAATAGCATTTTTTATTTTTTTAAATTTCTACATATCAATTTTTTTTTGCTCCTATTTATTTTTGTTATAAAATTTATTAAAATTATCAAGTATCTGCTAAATTAATTTTCATTTCAAAATTTTATTAAATTTATTTTTTAATAATTTTAGATGGCAAACGATATGAAAAGTCAGGAAATGAAGAAGTTGCTAAATCAATAACTCAATGGGTCTTCAAGGAAAACGGTGTAATTCGTGTGTCATCTGTTAATCACAACCGAATTGGTGAACACAGTCCGCCAGTTGCTTACACCATTATGGATGACGTTATTTACACAATTACTGTTGAAAAATTGATGGGTGACAAATGGGTACCTTACGAGGCCAATGATTTACAACTTGAGTTCGTAAGAATCGATCCATTTGTCCGCATGACCATGACACCGTCTGGGTACGGTCGGTATGAAGCACGATTCAAGATTCCTGATGTCTACGGTGTCTACCAATTCAAAGTCGATTACAACAGGATCGGTTTGACTCACTTGTACAGCACCACTCAAGTATCAGTTCGTCCTCTTGAACATACTCAGTACGAACGATTCATACCAAGTGCATACCCATACTACGCAAGTGCATTCTCAATGATGTTCGGTGTTTTCATATTTTCATTTGTATTTCTTCACTACAAAGACAATAGCAAAACAAAGTCTGAATAAGCCTAATCACACAAACTGTTTTTTTTACCAACTATTTTATGTACAGACTGAATTAAATTACAGTAAAACAATTAATATTGTGTGAATGCATTCCTTTCTTTTTATTTAATATCATGATACATGTTTTGGAATTAAATGTTTTGTAATTGTTAGGAATATTTAATTAATAAAGATTAATAAATTTTTATCTTATATTTTTAATAAATTTTTTAAAGTTGAATGCTTTCATCATATATTTATTTACATTTTTTAATAAAAGTAATTTTTTTAGCAGATCGTTCATTTTAAGAAAGACAAATTTTTCCGCTATTATTTTAACTTTAAAAATTTCAATGACATTAAAGTTAGCAGTCTTGACAATTTTTTAATTTTTTTTTTTTTACAAATAAATTTGGTTTGAAAAATTATTTTAAAAAAAATGCATTTTTAATTTTTTAAAATATCTACGTGTCAATTTTTTTTCTAAATTTTTTTTGCCATAATTTGTTATAAAAATTATTAAATATCTGCTAAATCAATTTTCATAAAATTTCATTATTAGATGGCGACCTAAGAAAATTCTTAATTCGTACTTCCCATGCTAGAGTCAAATTATTTATAATAAAATTTTTTTTTCTAAATTTAATAGAAATAATTCAATTTTATGATTTTTTAATTACTCAATTTATTAAAAAAAAAAAAAAAAAAAAAAAATTTTACCGGTTGGTAAAATTTCGTGTTGTATTTACTGGGTCTCTTTATTTCTTCAGTGACGAAGCTTTTACCAGCGCTGTTGAAAAAGCTCAAGGTACAATTAATATCTACTTAATATAATTGTTATATTTCAGATCGAATTTATTAAATAATGAAGTAAACTCAGGTTCTATAGATCATCTAATTTTTATGTTGATTTATTATTCATTTAATTCAGGCATCTACTTAATTAAAAGAATTTATTTCATACGTGTTCAAAATTATGACATAAAATTTAGCAGTCATTTGACCATTTTTTAATTTTTTTTAACAAACAAATTTCTTCCAAAAAATTATTTTCAAAAAATAGCATTTTTTATTTTTTTAAATTTCTACATATCAATTTTTTTTTGCTCCTATTTATTTTTGTTATAAAATTTATTAAAATTATCAAGTATCTGCTAAATTAATTTTCATTTCAAAATTTTATTAAATTTATTTTTTAATAATTTTAGATGGCAAACGATATGAAAAGTCAGGAAATGAAGAAGTTGCTAAATCAATAACTCAATGGGTCTTCAAGGAAAACGGTGTAATTCGTGTGTCATCTGTTAATCACAACCGAATTGGTGAACACAGTCCGCCAGTTGCTTACACCATTATGGATGACGTTATTTACACAATTACTGTTGAAAAATTGATGGGTGACAAATGGGTACCTTACGAGGCCAATGATTTACAACTTGAGTTCGTAAGAATCGATCCATTTGTCCGCATGACCATGACACCGTCTGGGTACGGTCGGTATGAAGCACGATTCAAGATTCCTGATGTCTACGGTGTCTACCAATTCAAAGTCGATTACAACAGGATCGGTTTGACTCACTTGTACAGCACCACTCAAGTATCAGTTCGTCCTCTTGAACATACTCAGTACGAACGATTCATACCAAGTGCATACCCATACTACGCAAGTGCATTCTCAATGATGTTCGGTGTTTTCATATTTTCATTTGTATTTCTTCACTACAAAGACAATAGCAAAACAAAGTCTGAATAAGCCTAATCACACAAACTGTTTTTTTTACCAACTATTTTATGTACAGACTGAATTAAATTACAGTAAAACAATTAATATTGTGTGAATGCATTCCTTTCTTTTTATTTAATATCATGATACATGTTTTGGAATTAAATGTTTTGTAATTGTTAGGAATATTTAATTAATAAAGATTAATAAATTTTTATCTTATATTTTTAATAAATTTTTTAAAGTTGAATGCTTTCATCATATATTTATTTACATTTTTTAATAAAAGTAATTTTTTTAGCAGATCGTTCATTTTAAGAAAGACAAATTTTTCCGCTATTATTTTAACTTTAAAAATTTCAATGACATTAAAGTTAGCAGTCTTGACAATTTTTTAATTTTTTTTTTTTTACAAATAAATTTGGTTTGAAAAATTATTTTAAAAAAATTGCATTTTTAATTTTTTAAAATATCTACGTGTCAATTTTTTTTCTAAATTTTTTTTGCCATAATTTGTTATAAAAATTATTAAATATCTGCTAAATCAATTTTCATAAAATTTCATTATTAGATGGCGACCTAAGAAAATTCTTAATTCGTACTTCCCATGCTAGAGTCAAATTATTTATAATAAAATTTTTTTTTCTAAATTTAATAGAAATAATTCAATTTTATGATTTTTTAATTACTCAATTTATTAAAAAAAAAAAAAAAAACAATTTTACCGGTTGGTAAAATTTTTCTTAAATTAACTGAAATATTTAATCATCTAAATTAATTAAACTATAAAATTGTGATGAATATTTACATTATCTATTCCAATATTTTTAATTTTTAACATTCTTTCTTTTTCAAGGTCATTAAAAATATTTGCAAAAATTCAGTTATATTAATGATACTGAAGTTAGCTGACTGTCATTTTTTGTAAAAAAATTAATTACAAATAAAAAAAAAATCTTCTAAAAATTTTTTTATTTTTCACTTGTGGAATTTTTTTTTTTTTTAAATTATTTTTATAATTATTTAATTTTGCTATAAAATTATAAAAAAATTTCTACTGTTTGTTGTGATGCACCCAGTGCATCCAACAGGTGACGCTACCTGTTATTAGAGCGCTATCTATTATGAGAGCGCGAATTCAAACGAAATATTCAAACTAGTAAATATTAAATGATTAAAATTAGTTAATATTCCAGTCCTTTATTTAATGCTTTTACTTTTAACAGTTGTAAAATAAACATCTTTTGGTTAACTCTGTTTTATTTACAAAAGAAAATAAAATAAAATAAAAAAAAAACATATTTCGGTACAAAGGTACATTGTAACCGAATTTTCAAAACCCATAAAAAGTACTTGAGTAATTCAAGGACTTTCTCGCAAGATGAAACTTAAAACCCTATGAGGAAAAGTCGTAAAAGACACGTGTGAAATTCAATAGACCCTTGTTCTAAAGTAACAAAGAATAATAAAAAAAAAACATATGTAACTAAACAAAAATAATATTGTTAAATAACATTTACTGTTAAAATCTAACTTTATATAATATTGTAGTTAAGCAAAATTGAGTTAAAATAATTAATAATTAGTATCTTATATTTAATTTATAACTAATAATTATTAGTTAACTAATTTACTATTAAATCATTATCTAATTATTATTTAATTTATAATTAAATAATAATATCTATTCTTTTATACAGGATAATAATTAAACTGACTTATAATTTTATTAGAAAACTCGAATGTAAAATGATAGAAATAATATTTAATCCAAATTATTAATTATTCAAACTCAAACATTAGTCCAACATATTATAAATAATATAATATATATAGTTTCATGTTATAGTTTATTATAATTTTATTGTAACTTAATTTCAAGTTAATTATAAGTTAATTTTATTATAAATAGATTTTAAAAAGGGTTTGTTAAATTAATAAGAATAGTTGAATAAACATAATGACTGTATTGCTAAAAGTATATATAAGTGAAGTCCAACTTTCAGGCCGATAGGCTGAAGTAAATATATATAGATATAGAGAAAATACATGTTAGTGTATAAGGATCATTATACATTATTCCTTAGAGTGGATGTATGTGTGGAAGTTATGGTGGGAGAAGAACGGAGTTTGAAGATCTTCGGAAAAACTATGTAACGACACTTCTCATCGAGAGATTAGATTGCTAAGATCACGTCATTGTAAACCTCAATTTTATATTTTCAAGCTTTTAATATCTTGTCAACTTGAATAATAAATTAAAAAGAACTAAATAATTTTGATCAAAATTAAACTACGTCTAAATAGAATTCTTTTATTTAAAATTATTCCTTTCCCGCACTGAAACCGAGTATTTTAATACTCCCGGGCGAAAGAACTACAGTAAGTAAAGTTTTAAATAAATAAAAATAACATCCACTAGATGAAAGCATAACAGTATTATACGTATAGTATTTTACGTGCCCACCCCTGATCAGCCTGATCAGTAGTGACGCTTAGGTGTGACATTAGTAAATGGGCGTGTTCGACCAACAAAAATTTCTAATTTTGTACTTAATTTAGTAAGTTATTAAAGTTGTAAGTGTACGCATGTGTACTAACTCACAGTTACAACTTAGGTGAACCGAATGCATCCATTGCCGACGAATTAACAAATGTACTTAGTATACATAAAAGATTAGTATACATCAAAAACGGGACTTGGCGCCAAACTTTACCGGGTCTGTGGATTGGTGACGTTGCAATAAATTTAACATAACCTAACTATTCACATAATGAATAAAATTAGTAAATTATTTTTTTTTTTAAAGTTTATTTATTATTAACAAGATATTGATTGATTGTAATAATTTACAACTTTAATATCTTCAATAGACGAATGTATACATGTCTGAATATACGTTTATATTTATATTTCTGTATATTTTTATATTTATTAATGTTTAATTAGAAAATAACATTACATATATCTGAAGACAGAAATATACATGTATATACGTAAGTATATATATTTATATATTTGTACTGAATAGCAATATGACTGTGAATATACAGTTATTTCTTGTATGTAATTTAGGATTTTTTTTTATTCTATTGTAAAAAAATTTCTACTGTAGAAAAGATATTAGAAGTCTGCTGTTTGAGAAAGAAAGAAATGAATACATAAACTGTCTGCAGTGCGGCTGATAAACTATAAAAAGTCTGCTTTGCAACTAAGAAATAGATAGATTAAAAGTCTGCTGTGCGGCTAACAGATGAATATTTTAGCAGTCTGAGGTACGACAAAAAAATAAAGATATTTACAGTATGCTGTGCAGCTAAAGAACTATTAAGTCAGTTTTAAGACTAGAAAATAAAAATACTTAAACAAGGCATAACATTGTCAACTTCAGTGTTATTTACATTAACTGACTGTAAGTTGTTACAACTGTAGTGATATCGACCAATCAGAAAAAAAGGTTTCAAATTCAAAGCCAACGTCCGTTACCGAGAGGACAGTCTGTTGCTATCAGAAAAGACGTTGCTGAATATTTAGTATAGTAGTGCAAAGCGCAGGGAACATTCCGGAAGATCTGAAATTGTTTTTATCGTTAATTGTTTTTTGTTAATGTTAATTATTAGTATCATGATACATTTAGTTTAGTGGCAAGGTGTATAAAAATTAAATGAGAAATTATTTTTCAATTAAATAATATTTGTTTGACTGTTATTTTTATTGACAACAACTGTTGATTCACCTCGACGCTTTTACAAGGTAATATAAATTAAAACTATTCATATTTATTTTTCACATTTTATATGAGATAATAATGCTTGTATAATTTTCTGTATAAAAACATAACCAATTAAAATGAAAAAATAATGAGGGTTATGGACCAGATGATTTATATTGATATTTAATAATAATAAAGTTAGCCGACATTTTTGATTTTTTTTTTTTATTTTGCTTAATTTATTAAATTACAACTAAAAAATATTTTAAAAAAATTGCACTTATAGTTTTTGAAGTTTTTAACAAATGAATAAATTTTTTTTTTGTAATAATTCTTTAATATAAAAATCATAAAATTTTTTAATTTTTTTCGGTTTTAAAATATTTTTATTTATTTATTTATTTACAGTTAAAACGAAATTATAAATTTATTAGAATGAGCAACTTATCAAAATCCAGCCGGTATGAAACGAGTGCCCCCCAATGGGTCGACTTTGAGGCAATGACACCAAATGCAGCTCCAGATGATGGATACTTTGACCATTTTCATCATGAACTAGAATCAACACCTTATTTACGTCAGATGCAACCATTAACTCCTGATGATCCAGCAAAGAAAGCTGATAGGCTTGAAAAAATTAAAGCCTCGTCATTATTTACCAGCATCAATGAGTCCTCAGTCGAGTCAAGTTTTATTGATGACCTTAATGAAATGTACATTTCACCAATAAAGTTAACCTCGCCAAGTCCGAAAAAAAAAGAACCGCAAGTACTAAAGGAATTGTCAGTTGATGAAGTGCTTAACGATGCTGTCAAAGATTTAGAAATAACGTCGTCAATTAATAAAAAACGTCGAACTCCAAAGCTGAACAAAACAGCGTGCGAAAGTACTACCACAACGCCTAACCCACGTCAACTTCGTATCTCAAGGTCCATAAATTTCAATGCTATGCAGAAACAAACACCTGTTATTGGTAATCAAGCCGAAGAACTAAAAATTATTCCAAAGTATTCTGAAGCAATTCCAACTGATGGTGATTCTGGAAATAAAGCCATTCAATCTCTTCATATTAATGAAGAACACAAGGAAAATATAAATATTAAAGTACCTAAAATAATAGTTGAGCATATTAAAACTCCTGGGAAAAATGTTATTACATCTCATTATCGCACTCCGTCAGGTCGAACCGCTATTAAAATAACAACAACTCCTTGTCGTATGAATTTACAAAATGCAGTAACTCCAATTAGATATGCTGAAGCCGAAGATATTTACGGGATAAATGAACAAGATAATACAATGATTGCTGAAGAAGAAGGAGAAGAAGATGATGATGATGATGTTTTTGAAATTATTGAACATCAGAAATCAAAGAGCCCTGAAGAACACGAGGAACAGAAGAAACTTACATCTGATAAGAATATAACAATAAGCTCAGACGATAATTATAGATTGACAGGAAAACGTAAGTTACGTTTATCCAAATCGCTTCATCATCCTTCTCCGTCAGTTTTTCGTGCTCCTCCAAAGAAAAATATTATCAAACCTTGTACTGTTAAACTGGAAAGACTACTGACACCGTTAAAAAATAAAAAATTAGACAATATTCACTTGTTTGAAGGTGGAATAAAGGATACAATGGATATTGATGATGATCTGCAGGCAGAAATTGAGTCTGTTAGCCAAGTTCCAGTCAATCAAGAAGTTACAACACCTGTAACTGTAAACACAGAGGATGAAATTACGGAAGAACAGTCCCAATCTTCAGAAGACATTGATGTTAATAAACTAAGTACTGATTTAAATAACAAGAGTCCGGAAAAAGTTTCATCAGCAGCGACAGAAAACAGTCACAATGTTAGTGTCAATGAACTGGATGATGATGTTTTTGAGCCACTGGAAGATTTTCGTAAAAAATTAGACTATCAAGATCAACAGAAGCTTTTTAAAGTTCATTACAACCGTCCTGCTAACCGCCAATTGACTCAAGCTAAGCTGAAAGTTTTAACAGGAACTGCCCGAAGACGCAGTGATCAGCATCAACTTTCCAAGGCTAGCACCAAGTACGTAAGTCTGGCTGAGGGAGTATCGACATTCCATCGTAGCACGCCGACACGTTTCCACACTGTCAGCACTAAGGTGATAAAAGCCAAAGCTGGCCCGGTTCAAAAAGTCCAACAAGCTCCTAAACGAACTATTCCGGTTTCACCTGCATGGCACGGCAGAACTCGCACGAGAAAGCCCATGCCAACTAAGTTCGAGCTAGAAAAAATGGACCGTGAAAAAAATAAAATTCGGGCTAAACCTGTACCCAAGGGGATTCTTAATGCTCCGAAGGCGTTGAAGGCTGTTCCCAAGAAACCGCCAACTGAACCAAAGCCTTTCCAATTAACTGGAACCAGGCCAGTTACGACTAAGCCACGAAGTAAATCAAAACCAGCTTCTGTAAATTGTAAAAGTGTGGCTTCAGCAAGCTCTTCAATGTCGTCAACTTCTACATCGACAGTGAAAGCTCCGCTAACTCGATCGAATTCACAAATAAATAGATCTGTATTAACAATAAACAATGATGGTGCACCTGAACAGCAACAAGTTTTACACTTTAGTATTCCAGTAACGACTCAAAAACATCAAAATATTGCAGGGGCTAAGAAGACTATTCCTCAACCGTTTAGTCTTGAGGCGCGTAATCAAGAATTCTTGATGAAAAAACAAAGGAAATTAGAAAAATTACGTGAAGAAGAGGCTAAAAAACTTAAATCTCAGTTTCATGCTCGACCTGTTCCTACTGTTGTCAAAAAATCTGTTAAGCCTGAAGCAAAAACAGAAAAAGCTAAAAAAGCTCCAGTACCACTTAAAGTAAAGCCGTTCAGTTTTGAAAATCGAGATAAACTGTTGGCTAAAAAGAAAGAAGAAATGTGTAAAAAAGCCACTGAGGAAGCTCAGAAAATAAAAGAATTTCACGCAAAACCTGCACCAACATTCAAGCCAGTTACCGTAAGGACAACTTCCAAGGAAAGTATCAGAAGTGGAGGTTTTGAAGGTAAACCAAGAACTGCAATGCGTACGGTATCGGTTGATCGTTTGAATCGTGGGAATTCAAACGATAAGCTGCGGAATGGATTGGGCACTCGTGGATTGTCGGCACAAAATTTAAGATCAAGACAAGATAGCTTCACATCTTTTAACTTAGTGAGAAAGCCGATTGGATCTTCAAGTTCGTCAATTAAAGATGGGACTCGTCCAGATCAACAAAGTACTTCGTTGAATGCTCCATCTACTTCTGGGATGCCAGTCATGAAGCAACAGTTAACCGCCTTGCCGATTCTACACAGCGATCGTAGAGCTCAAGTACGACAAGAGTTTGAGGAAAAGCTGAAGATGAAAACAGAGCGAGAAAACGCTCTTCAGAGAATGGAACAGCAAGCCAAATTAATTAAAGAACAAACTGAAATAAATGAAATTCGGAAAAGAGCAGAAATTAAAGCCAGACCGATGCCTGTTTATAAACCTCTCGTTATTGTTAGGTCTGAGAAACTATTAACCGATCCGTCAAGTCCAGCTTGGACTCGTGCTAAACATTAATTTTTTATTTACTGATATTTTACTTACTTATTATAGACTAGTGTATAATTGACTTTTTTTTTTTTTTTAATTTTCATGTTACTATTACAATTTTTTATTGTTGGAAATTTGGTGTCTGTTCTAGTTGAATAAAATAAAAATACTTAAAATTTATTATTTTTGTACTTTAATCTTCAGATTATTTATTAGAATTTTTCGCAGGATGGTAAATTAAATAAAAATAAATTTAAAAATTTAATAATTAGTTAATAATATCTTTTGATTGTATTTCTATTCAACCATTTTTAAATAAAAATTATAATTACATTTAAATATACAATTCTTTTTTTCTCATTTTAGTTTTTATGATTTACAGGATATAGAAAAAAAAATATCGCAAGAACAGTGTAAGATTAAAAATTGAAAAAAATGCGTTAATAATTAATTAATAATTAATAGTATTCATAATAATTAAAATTACAATAAAAATTTTTGTGTCATAGCTGTAAAGCGATTAAACTATCAATTTATTTATTTTTTTTTCTTCATTTTAAAGCCGTATTGGCAAGTAATAAATACGAATTAAATAAAGTTAAATGCACTGACCAATTGAAAACAATTGCCGTATCAACATATTCAATATTTTCTTTTCCTAATAAATGTATACATATTTATATAAATATAAAAAAACTTGTTTTTAAATTGTATGGCAATTAATCATCTTTAGCATTATCTCGATTATAATTTAGGCATGAGACTTTTACGATACTCACGTATCGCCTATTTAAACTTTGTTTGATTAAAAATATTTTGTTGTTTATAAAAAATTTTAAGTTTTGTAAATATTGGTTGTTTTGTTTGAATGTCCAATAGTATATAATAAATGCAATTAAGGTATTAAAAACGTTCAAACAAACAAGACTCTCTGTTTAATTGCACAACTAAAATATTAAATAATCTTTTCATTCATTTTTAAGAATTTATTTTAAATACTGATCACGCTTTCGAATATTTTTTATACGAGTTGAAAATCTAAGTACGCACCATTTTTTTAATATTTCTTCTAAGAGAATCATTTGAATCATATTATTTTTTAGTAATAATAATAAATAACATTGGAAAAATTTACATATATCCGATTAAAACTTCGATCTATTGATAATTCGATGTTGATTATTATAAATAACTAATATATTTATGTAAATTAACATATTATTTTTTTTTTTTTCATCAATTTCGTTTTGTCTTTTAGACGACTGACATTTCTGGTGTTTAAACATCCAGTTATATTTTTATATAATTATAAAAAATTTAATTTTTAAATCTTTGTGTGTAAATCACGCAATCATAATTTGTTTGTGGTTTTTGAATACAAAATGTTTCAATTTTAACGACCATTAGGTCTCAGTACAAAGAACCTTTTAAAATTGTTTAAAAAAAATCTATTTAACTATTTTGATATACATTATATATTTTTTTTTTTTTTTTTTTTTAAGAGTCTGAGTATATTCCAAAAAAATGAAATTCATGTCGATAAAATTGTAAACGCAAAACTAACGAAATAACGCCTAAGATGGTGCTATCAACTGGCTGCACATTGCAAGAGTATGAATTAGATAATTATTAGACGATTTTAATAAATACATCTGATTGTTATTTTGTCCACTTTCGCTTCATATTTAACAGATTTCAAGTTAGTGTATAATGATGAATTATATACTTGTTTGTTATTAAATTTTTTTTCATCTTTGTATGAAAGGTACAAACTACTAGTATCACCTTAATTGTTGCAGCAATAATTTTATTATCCGGTCTCGCCGGAATTACCGTCGCGTCAGAGCTCTTTCAAAAGAGCCGATTTTGCTTTTATCAATTTATCTAATCGTCTTTGTAAATGTGAATTTGTTGTTTCTAATTCTTCAACACGACTCTGTGATTCTCTTACCTTTAAATTAATAAAGAAAAAAAAATAATTAGTACCCATCAGTCAGGAACAAATTTAAAATTGAAAATAAACTTAAATGACATACTTCTCTCTGTAATTTCCGCTTCTCAACCTTCAAGTCGTCTTCGGCTTTCTCAGAAGTTTCGGCCGCTGACTTGTAACGAATCACTTGACTCTCTAATCTCGCGACAGTTGCTTGTAACGTCGACATATCTTGTTCGGCTTTTTGTAATTTGAATTTGTAATCTGCCAACAATTTATTTGCTTCCCTTTGGACGTCTTCTGAGTCTGAAAATCCTTAATTATATTAATAAATATAATAATCAAATTAATTATTCAATAACAATAAAAAAAAAAAATAATTCTTCTACCTAATACTGATCCAGACGATCTTTCAGATCTTAATCGACTCTTGGCTTCTTCCAATTCTAGTCTTAGATGTCGGATTTCATCTTGTAATTCTTTTTTCTCTGCACCAAACTTTTTCAACCGAACATCTACAGAATAAAGATGTAAATTAATTAATAATATGCCTAAAATAACACTAATAAATTAATTATAATCAATAATAACAACCTAGAGATCCTTCACCAGCATTTTGTAACAATTCAGCAGCTTCCGTACTGACTAGTACTTTTTTTTTACGATTCACAAATCCATTAGTTGATTCTGCTTCTTCGTCATCACTGACCTCATCTTCAATTATTACCAATCCATTTTCCTTTTAGCAATAAATTATCCAATTAATAAATATAATACTTGAAAATTTTTTTAAATAATTAAAGTTATAATTACTTCTATAAGCCTATCTCGTTCCTCCAGTAATGTTTTACACATTTCAAAATCCTCTTTCAACCGTTGGCAATCACGTTGCAATAATTTAGCCTCACTAGTTTTTTCCCTGAGCTCTCGTCGCAATGTAGCGGCGGATTCTTCCGATTCTTCTAATTGATCTTTAAGTAAATCCACTTGATAAACGTATGACGATTTTTCATTATCCAGTTGAGCATTAGCAATCATTGCTTTTCTAAATTTTTCTTCAAGCTCTTTAAGCTCTAACTAATACACAAAAATATAATCAAATTAATATTTGTTTTGCAATAAAAAAAAAAAAAAAATAAAAATAATATGTTCAATCAGTTCTCGTTTTAAGGATATTTAATATTTGATGTTTATTTAATTTTCATACGTTTCACCACTTTCACAGCTTCTCAGGTACTCAATTACAAATATCAACTGTTAAATGTATGTATAAATAATCTCGACTTATAATTTCTTCTGTTTCTAGTATCATCTCACAATTGTTAAAATAAGATAAAATTGTCAATTATTAAATTAATAATATATAATTTTTAATAATTCAAAACAATTTTCACACCGTCTAAATTCATCTCCAAAATACAACAGTTTAAATATCCTTAAAACAAGAACCGATTGAATATATTATGAACCATGGATAAGAACGTGAATAACAATAAAAATAATGTAAACTTACTCTTAAATCTCTACTTTGACCAGCATCCTCTAAGGAATCTTCGGAAGACCTACGACTTGACTGAAAATTATTTGAATTTGTTAATAAGCGTGAAGCCCTTATAGGATCTGGTGTTACCCTCAAAGTTCTTGTTCCGTCAGCTAAAAAATTATCACTCAATTAAACTCATTAATTAATTAATTAATTAATATTATGATTAAAAATCTATTGTTTACCATTACACATATCGTAAACACGATCAGCGGTTTGTTCAGCTTCTTTTTGCTGTTTTTCTAACTCTCTCATTCGGATTTCTCGTGCTTCGGCCCTGGCTTGTCTTCGTGCTGCTAATCTTTCTCCAGCCTGTAAATTATAATAGTAAATAAAGCTTCAAGATATTATATAAATTTAAAATACTGAACAAAACAATAAACGTGCAGTAAATAAAAGAAAATATAAATATTTACAATTTATTCGAATCACATACAGCGCTAACTGTACTCTACGTTTATGTTAAAGTCTTTATACTTCATATTGAAATGCTCATTGAATTGAAAAAAAAAAAAAAAATAAAAATCTAGTACAATCACAATACATTGTACAAGTGACAGCATCTTATGTACCGTCAAATGTTAGTGTTTAAAAATAAATAGCATACCTCTTTTGCTATTTGATCGAGAGCTTGATCCTCAGCAGAGTGCCGACTAGCAGCACGCCTTCGACCAGTTATTGCTGACTCCATTGTATTCATTTTATTATAATAATTTTTATTTTGTTTATTTGTTTAATTAATTAATATAGTAATTAATTATTATATAATTATATATTTGTCTTTTATGTAAATATTTATCTCTTATTTCCAATAACAACACGGTTGCCCCTTATTTAACCCAAAACTTCTCTGTGACCTCACAGACCCGTTAACCACCAACACTAGACAGACAAAAAAAAAAAAAAAAAAAAAAAAAACACAAATATAGACAATACAGTTTGACTTATAAATATAATTAAAATTAATTCATTAAAATGTATATAATTAAATTATAAACAAGCAATTTAATTGAAAAGTTGTAGGACATTAAAATTTTTAATCTAATTGCATCTAATAGTTCAGTGTAAATCTAATTAGAAGAAACATAAATTATGATAAAATCAATTAGATCATTTATGACCATGAAAGTATTCAATTTAGGTTCATATAAGCGTTTTTTAAATAGGCAATTAATAAATAGATAATTGCTGTAATAATACATGTAAATAATAAAAAATAATACATAAATAGATGATTTAATTTAAAATAAATAATTCTGACTGAAAGCAGTGGTAGGCAATAAAAATACATCGGAATGTTAATGAGTTGAATAATTAAAATGAGTGATATACATGCTGGCTATCAAACTAGAAAGAATAAAAAATTATTAAATAGCAAAAGTAGTGTATATATATATTTTTAATAATGAGTATTTCTAAATGCACATACACACCCACACATTTAGCGACGAGATAGGATGTACGAATACATGAGTCACAAAAATAAATTTTTTAAAAAATAGCAAATTATACTTTGTGTCAATTATAAAATAAATGGTTATAAATGATACTTACTAAATAATGATGATAATAATAAAAAAAAAAAATTTTTTTTAAATGAGAAACAAATCTTCAGCCGGTAGTAGATTGCATTTTTATATTTTTAAGTCTTGTTAAAGGTAAAAATAAACCGGGATAAACTATAAATACTATCAATCTAAATTGGATGACTTGATATTCTCACAACGATGATGTTGACGATGATGATGATGATGATAATAATGTTGATGATAATAATAATGTTCATTGACCATCTGTAAATTTTTATATAAATGATGATAATTAATAATTATTATTACTGGTTAAGTTGTATATATTTTGTTTAGAGTAATTATTCACAATTGTTTAGCGTTATATGCGTAACCGTTAAGCCGTAATATTATTTTACAGGCACCGTGCCACGATCAAAGTTCGTGAAATCGCACACGAACACGGTGCAAGATCCATTTTTCGATCGAGTAACTCACTCCTCACTGCTTTTGCCGTAATATACCTATATATGTATTCTTACATGTACATATGTATAGATATATCAATTTATGTAAGTCTATATATGTATATCACGTAGTTATCATACTTGTATGAGTTGGACATGTGTGTTAGTAGTTATATGGTACAATAGTAAGCAGCAGGTATGTAACCAAACTCCAACTCTCCATAGGAAAGATCGTGTCGCACACACGTACAATTCCGCACTTTATATTATTTTTTACGCCGCCGCACCTTTACGAATTATCAACTAGTGTCATCTATTGGTCATTTTTCTATCATAGTCTAAATTTAAATTAAAAGAATCTTCTTCAGTTGACATCTGTTAATTTAAAATATTGTTAAATTCAATGCCAATGACAAACATAATAATAATTATGAAAATTAATTTAGCAGATATTTTATAATTTTAAGAATTTTTTTACAACAAACAAATCATGTCAAAAAAAAAAAATAAGAAAAAAAAATTGACACTTAGAAAATTTAAAAAATAAAAAATGCAATTTTTTAGAAATAATTTTTCGGAGCAAATTTATTTATTAAAAAAAATGATCTAGCGACTGCTAACTTTAATGCCAATAGTACTTAACACATTTTTAATTATATTTTATTTCATATTAAATCATTTTAATTTTTTTTTTATAATATACTCAATTAGTAACAATAATTTTTAATTAAGCAGTGATGATAATTAATGACACTTTAATTTGACATTGATTTTTTTTCCAAGCCAATTTCTTCTACTTGAAAATCAAATTTTTCAAAATCTTTAATCGACTCGATTTTGCAAATATTACACTCCTGTAAAATAATAATGAATTTTAAAAGATATTATAATACACTGTTAAATTTTTAATGTGTATTATAAGCTAATTGACTTACTTTTTTAGATTGATATTGATAACATACTTTGTGACAACTATGACCACAATCTAGTTTATGGTTTTTCGATTGCAACTTAATCTTTTTTCCGCAAACAGTACAAATTTCCTCTTGATGATTTAATTGTTGGTTTCTGGAAAAAAAAAAAAAAAAATACTTTTAATAATGTACTCTTCATAGTTTAAAAATTACTTACTTTTCTTCTTTCAATTTTTTCTTCTTTTTACAATAATCGTAAAGTAACAATAATGAATATAAAGTGAGTTCAAATACCAATCCAGACCAATGAATCGTCATGATTTACTAGCTTCTACTGTTGGATTTTAGAACTGGATAAATTGTGAGGAATAAATGCATAGCGTAATCATTTTAAATACTTAGAATATTATCAGTAGAAACTATCTAATCATAAATGCATTTTTTTCGATCATTGTTAGAAGCAGAAAAGAAGTTTTATCACAAAGCGCAATTTATTTATCAGATCTCAATAAAGTACACCACGACATTTTACTTATGTAACAAAAATACATAATATCTTGTTCTTCATTGTTCCAAAAAAAATGAAGAAGAAACATAAATTATTAATAATAATTACTCTTAATATATTATTTAATAGAGTATCAAGTAAAATCTAATGACCCTGAAGTTAGCGGATAGCAGACAAAATAAAATTTCAGATAGGGATATCTACAAGCGAAATTAAGTTTTTCGAGTTTACCAAATTATATATAAATGGTTTGTCGTTGACTTACCTACAGATGATAATAAACAAATTTTTTTTTTTTGCTAATAAAAAATTTTTTACATTAAAAATTAAATTTTGGGAAACTCTCACCGTGTTTCCTATCGTTTCATACATATGAAATTTTCAAATTTAGTTTATTTTTAAATCCAAAAAAGATGATTTCAGTTAGTTTTTTTAATTTTGGCTTAGGGCATTCTGGGACGTATATCTGCGAGTAAAATGATTATTATTA